GATGTGAGAGCAGAACTTCACACACCCCACTGGGACTGAGCCACAACACCCGCATATGCCCTGACCAGGAATCCAATTGGCAGCCTTTTGCTGCACGGGGACAACACTCAACCAACTGAGTCATGCTGGCCAGGGCCACACTGGCTTTCTTTTTCTTTCTTTTTTTTTACACTGTCTTTCTTGAACTGCATTTTTAAAAGGGCCAATTACAGTATCTCTCCTCAGGACCTTGGCGCTTGCTCTTCCCTGCTACCATGGCTAATAGCCTGGCTGGGGGCCTGGCTCTTTCTCAATCTTCACATCTTATTTAAAGTTAAGTTACTTCTCAGACAGATTTTCCCTGGCCACTCTGTCTGAAGTAGTTTTCTCCTGTAATTCTGTCCTAAAACCTTGTTCTTTTCTTTCTTTGCAGCTCCTGGTGGGGAGTGGCAAGATTCTGGAAGAGCACATGGGGGCCAGGAATATAGCTGTGGTGGATTTTGGGAAATGCAATCTGCTGTAGTGCCCATTCTCTAAATATTTTAATATGCCTTTTTTTGCCCATCATGAGATTTTTGAGATTTATATTGATATAAGTAGCCCTAGTTCACTAATTTTCCTGCTGGGCAATATTTCATTGTATAAATATATTCTCTATGCATTCTGTTGCTGGATATGCTGAGTATCTCTGTCCCTCTGAATCTCCACTGTGCTCCAGGATGTTGGCCTCTCTGGGCGTCAGTGGGCTCCTCGTCCTCTGGCTTTCCCTTGGGGTCAGCCAATGGGGAGTCCCCACCAGGAAGGAGAGGAAGGGTGTTCATTCCCCCAGTTTACTCCCTGTGGACTTGCTTTGAGCTAGTTATATTCCTTACCTCAAGTTCACTGCTTTCAAGATAGCCTTTGCTTTGGGTCTTTTCAGATTTGGGTAACTACTCGCTCCCTTCCTCCTTTCAGATGTAGGGGAGGCAGCAGCTCTGCTTTTCTATCTTTGGGCTACCAAACTGTCTTTTGTAGTTTTTCTACACTCAGCTCATCCCAAATAATCTATTTTTAATCCCTCCTTTAATTATCCTAATTTTTAGTATGCCAGCTATTTTCTGATATAATGGGCATTGAGTGGTTTATATTTTTCACTCTTGGTAACAGTGCTGTTAGGAACTTTTAAAAAAAAAATTCTTTATTTAAGGTCATACATATGTCTCCCCCCGCCCCCCCCATTATTCCCACCCCCCAGTTAGGAACATTTTTGTACAAGTCTTCTAGTGGATGCGTGGGGAAATTTCTCCAAGGCATATATCCAGGAGCGAAATTCTGGGTTATGAGGTATAATCACCCCCAACTTTACCATAAATTGCCTTCCAAAGCCCTGGCACCAATTTATATATATATCCACCAGCAGTGAATGAGAGAGTTCCTTCTTACTCTTTTCGGTATCTCTTTTCAGTTCAAGATGTGTTTATTAGGTTCCTATTGCATTCTTTAGTATCTTGTGGAGAACAGAGAAAGAAGGGGGTGAGGGGGTAGGAAGGCAAGCTACATGCCCTCAGGGGCTCACAGTCTAGGCACAGAGCTATGGCACAAAAAGTAATTCTTCTCAACTGGTGGACTTGTGGGCCACTGCAGTGGGAGGAGTTGGGATGTTAAGCATTGATCCTGGCTGATGTTGGGTCTGTTAACTAAAATCACAGAATAAGGAGTAGGGTCAGGTTTGATGGGATTGGTTTGGGAAGTAATGGCTTTGAGTTGCCATCAGGAAATATGCTGCAACTTGTGGGGCATATACACAGCTGAGGATGAAGGTGTGGGTTCCACCCACAGAGAGCAGGTAAGTATTGCTGTAGGAGTCAGTGACATTGCTAAGGGGAAAGTGTGGAGTAGTGGGCAGTATTTGTCTCTGTGTGTGTAGTCTAAGGATATGCCAATGCTTAGGGGGCAGGAAGAAGAAAAGGTCTCGGAGCAGAAAACAACCAGGAATTTTGGAAGAGGAAACCAGGAGCGGACCTTGGCACTAAAGTTGGGGAGGAGGGCTTACGGCAGGATGGGACACAGGATGGCATGTTGCAGATTGTTAGCTGAGCAGAGGATGGCAGGTGTGATTGTCACCTCGAGGAGAACAATTTCCGTAGAGTTGTAGGGGGACGCCTGTACACAGCGTCTGGGGAATGGCAGAGAGTGAGGATGCGAAGTCAGCAAGGGTAGGATTCTGTTTGGAGCCATTGGTGATGCCAGGTAGACATAGGTCAGTAGCAGCTTAAGGGAGGAGCAGTGCTGAAGGAAGGCCGAAGGGTTTGAAATAGTAATAATGATAAGAACAATAGGAGCATCTAACAATCATCAGGTGTTTCTGGCAGCCGGGCACTGTACTCTGGGTTGTATGTAGATTATGTCATGTAATCTCCAAAACAGTCCTGTTGAGGTAACTATTAGGATTATCCTCTTTTTACAATGGAAAAAAAAAATCAAGCTCAACAGATTAGGCAACTTGCCCAAGGTCACATCATTGGTATGAGATGGATCTAGGATTGAAAATGCAAAAGACAGAATAATTGTTGGGGAGAGAGAGCTGTGGAGATGGGATCAATGGCTTGGAAGAGGGGTTGACTCTGGGATCAAATGTACTTTTCAACCATCTCTCCATCCTTCTGTCCATCCATCTAGCTACCAGGCCATCCATCCACTATTCTCTCCACCATATGCCCATCTCTTCATTCTGTCAGTCTATCCACCTATCAGTTCATTCATTTGTCGGCTTATCCAATGTGCTGAGCCCTTGCCCTGTCCCAGCCACGGTGCTGGATGCCAGAGTGCAGTGAGTGAAAAACAGATGTGATTCTTCTGGCACACAGCCACTTGGAAAGCCTGACATTAACCTGCCACTCACACAAACCAGTGGAAATTCCGGTTGTGGCAAATGTCAGAGAAGTGAGGGATCGGTTCCATGAGAGCCTCTCACTGGAGCATTAGTAAGGACCTTTAGGGAGGGCTTCCCTGAGGAAGGGGTGTATCATCTGATTGCTGAAGGATGATTAGGAGTTTACTGGGCCTTGAAGGGAGGGCAGACCATTGTGACCATGGGCAGAGCAAGTTTGAGAGTCTGGCATGGTGGGACTGGAAAGGGAAGGATGAGGGAAGAAAGCCATTGAGTGTGGAGCAGTGTGGTATGGGAGGGCACTGGAGAGTGAGGTGGGGGGTAGTTGGATTTGTTTTTGCCTAATAGCATCAAAGGGATTTAAGCGGTACGTGTGAAAAAACAGGGGCACATAATTGGATATCCATTTTGAAAAGAATGGTCTGGCTGCAACAAAGGCAACAGAAGCATTTCTACTTACGAGGAACTTGGGTGCAATCTGGTTGGAAGCTGGAGCTCAAGTACTTGTCTAGGAGCATCATTTCCGTAGCACCACACCGTTTATTTTAAGTCACGGAGGTGCATGTGGTCGTGGTGGTGGGGCTTCCAATGAGATGATGAGAGTGCTGAGGTGTTGAATCTCCGTAGCCTTTTGGAGCTGCCACAGGGTTGCCAGTAAGACCAGAGAACAAGAGAATCGTTCGTCTGGAAAAGAATGGGGCCCACAGAGAGAGACTTAGAAGATAGTTGATGAGATAGAAGAGGGAACATGACCTGGACTTCTCTAGAAGTGGGGCTTGCACTTGGTCTCCCTGTGGGCTGAGCAGTCCCAGTGGGCATGCCCTGTATGGATCATACAGGTCAGGACTTTAGAGGCTCGCCCTTGAAGGCTTAGGTTTAGAATCCCTAGACTTGTTGGTTTACTTCGCTGGGTGCTGAATCCCTAATTCACCCCTAAGCTGCCTCTGTCGCTGACTTTCCCTGGGTTCTATTTCCCTGGTAACTTTGAAAGATGCCTTTAAGGTTCATTATCAGTCCAGGATCTGCTAGAACAAGTGTGTCAAACACAGGCCAAATAAACAAGGTTTAAGTTTATGTGGGCTGCAAAAAAACAAAAACTTCAATTTTCATAGAAACGGAGGTTTATTTCGATAGAGACATGCTGAGTACAAAGGGCTGAAATAAATGAGCATTGTTAACATAAAATAATAGAACATTTTAATAAAAATTAATACTTTTTCTTGAACATTAACTTACCAGACACTGAAAAACTGCATAAATTAATAAGTGTAACGCAAATAAACCTATTTTTCTTGTTCTCCGAAAGCAAAATATTTCCTGTTGCGTACACCAAACAAGTCAGTCCAAGACTAATGACGTGGCAGTTGGCTGCTACAATATTCGCTGCTAGTATTAGTGGAGAGAAACGGTGCACCTGCACGTAAGGCGTGTAAGGGAAATGAACGCAACACGATTAGAGTAATCAGTCATTAGCGAATGTTGTAGTTCATTATTAATAATTATGTATAACAAGATATTGTAAAAATTAAGTCACGAAATTTTTATTAAAACGTTTCTTACATACCATTATATGTGCCGGGCCGCAAAAATACTCGTGGGTCGCATGCGGCCCCATGGGCTGCAAGTTTGACATGCTTGTGCTAGAAGGTAGAATCTGAGCTGGTAGAGTTGCCCCCAAGGGCAGGCCTGGAAGAGAAAGGGAAGGAACTGGCTTTTCCCATCAAAGACGTTCAGTTAACTCAAGCAACAGTACCTAACATCATATCCCTAACATCCTATCTCTCACGCACTACTAGAAGCCCCTTCTAGAATTAGCAGTTAAACAGTTGGTTTCTCAAGTGAAGTCTGGCAAGTAAATGAAAGAGCGCTGTCTTCGTCTGTTTGAGCTGCTGTAACAAAATACTATAGACTGAGTGGTTTATAAACAGCAGAAATGATAGCTCACCGTTCTGGATGCTGGAAGTCCGAGATCAAGGCACCTGCAGATTCAGTGTCTGGTGAGAACCCTCTTCTGGTTCATAGAGGGCTGTCTTCTCGCTGTGACCGAAGGGGTGAGGGAACTCTCTGGGGGTATCTTTTGTAAGGGCACTGACCCCATTACCAAGCCCTCAAGACCTAGTCTCCTCCCAAAGGCCCCACTCCAGATACCATCACAATTGGGGGTAGGGTTTCAACCTATAGTAAGACTATCCCGGCCCCCGGCCC